CCCCCAATAAGCAAACAAAAAACCCACCAAGAACACAAACAAAAACAAAACAAGAACAAGAGCAATGCCGCCTTCCCCTTTCCCTCGAAATAAACCACAACAACAACGACAACAGCAACAACAACAACAACAACAACAACAACAACAACAACAACAACAACAATAACAACAACAACAACAAAAAACCCCCAATGAATAACCAGATAATCAAAATTGAAAATGAAAACCAAACCAACAACAACAAAATACTCCGACAAAATTTTTAAAAAGTAAAAGATTAAACGAACAAACAAACCTAAAAGTAAAGCAAGCAAAACAAAGCAAAACAAATTCAAACAAATCAAAATAAAGCAAAACAAAGCAAAACATAGGAAAAGAAAAAGCAATTAGATAAAAACAAGCTAGACAAAACGCACAAATCGAACACTTCTAGTACTATCTTCTACCATCTTACCCTCCCCCCACCACCAGAAGCCTCCTCCCCTCCCTCGGCCTGCTGTATGTGCTGCCACTGACACCAGACTTCGTCATTGGGCAGACACTGCAGAGTCCGGAAGTCGAACTGGTGGTTGTCCAGGCAGTGAGTGAGATGGCCCTCGAAGTGCTCACAGCGCCAGAAACTCTCGCACGAGAAGTCATCCAGGTTGGGCTCGTTGCCGTGTCTCATGCTGCAGCGGTGGTGGGCGTTGTCTCCAGTACAAAGTGAGAAACTTGCTAGAAGTAGATACAGGAGATGTGAAAGTATTCTTGCTGATGAATGTAAACGGCTTGATTTTGGAGTCATTTCTGATAATACAACCCCCCTCCCCCAACAACTCACAAGCAAACAAAAAGACAAACAGACAAACAAACAAGAGGAACAACAATCAAACAAACAGACAAATGAACGAAATACAAAAATACAAAAAAACAACAACAAACAAACAAATAAACAAACAAACAGAATACAAAAAAAATAAAACACCGAACAAAAACAAACAAGCAACCGTCCTCTACATATATAATATGATTTTGAAACAAAGTCATTGCATCTTCTTGGTCATCCGGTTTGTAAAACTATCAAATTATACAACTCCATATTCTTATTACAACCTTTCGCAATTTTCATCACCATGTTCTACCATCCCAAATATTGCACAGCAACGTTTTGACAATGAAATATTTCGTCTCATCGATTGGCCTTAGTCTCACTCTCACTCATCTTCTTATAATTGTAACATATTTAGACAAATCAAATGTTGTAGACCTATTAACGCAATAAGATCCTGTAGAGTTTCTTTCTTTTTTTTCTTCTGTGCCTGAAAACATCTTTTTTAGTTTAGTTTTAGTAAGAGTTTTACGGCACTCGTAACACAACAAGGTCATACAAGTGCCGAAGATTAGAAGTGTTACAAGAGAGTAACAAACATAGAAAAGGAGGAGGAGAGATCATGACGAGAGATGTTTGATAGGAAAGAAGGAGCAAACCACACCAGAGCACTTGCCAACCACCCACAAACATCTTTTTTTTTGTCATGCGGCGATGATGAATGATGGCAACAATATATGATTTCAATGCTTCAATCTCCAGCCCCCCCCCCCCTTCCCTTCTCACTCATGTTTGTGAAGGGTCCATTAACTTTACAGGGTTTAAAATTGACAAACAAATGACCAGGAACTCTGATTAGGCCCATCAGTTTGAAGAAATGGCATTTTTAATGCCCTCTCAACATTGTACAGTTCTTTGAGAGGCACTATTTTCAAGTAACGTTCATCTACGAAATTAGTTATTAGAGGGCTATAAAATTTCCCAGACAACTCAACTTTAACCGTACGTCGTGTTTTACTATCGTATCCATACGACGTGGGGAACTCTTTGCCACCACTTTCCAAAGAGGAAATTTACTCGTTAATCCGATCCGTGCGCTTTGCATAGCAATCTGTCAAAATGATTGTTTGAGAAATACTGAAAGTTTCAAAGAGATCTTCGCACTAGAAGTATTCTAAAATTGAAGAATACAACCCCGGGGGTACAAAAATGACCCCACGGCGTAAGGATAGGGTTAAGAAAATTCCTTTCTAGGTTCAAACCAAGGCTATCTGTCTGACGGTCCTGCATGATCTCAACTGAACGAGCGGTGCGTCCAAATCATTTCAGTTCAGCCTCGTCATCTCACTGGTGACTATACACGTTTTTTGCGTTTGAGATATTTCAGAAAACTTTATTGCGTTCAAAAGAGCGTGTCCCATTGATTTAGTAATTGTTTTTCCTGAACGCCTGTCGGAATAGCTAACAACGTATAATTTGACAATCACGTTATATAGAAAATTCCCTCGTTGTGAGGGATTGGGACTCCACATAGCAGATATCGAGTTTCCGAAAAGTAAGCATTTAAAAATTATCAAGTCAAAAGCAAATGTCGCGAAAACTAGAAAGATTTATACATGTGTTTAGACGTCTCCATCGAAGAAAATAACATTATTTCAGAGGAGGTTTTTGATACTGCCTGTCAGGAGCAACCCATTGTGGGGGCTCTCGTGGCCTGGACGCTAAAGTGTTCGCCTCTCATTCAAAAGGTCCCGGGTTTGAATCCGGGTAGCGACAGAAACATTTTGTTCTCTAAAATTGTCCCTTTAACCTCCTTTCCTGCTCTCTAGCAATGTTCTGTCGTCTACATTCGTCTCCTCTTTCTGCCCCCACCCCCTCACCTCCTTTGCCCCCTCTACTGGGCTCCTGACTCTTTCTCCAGCCTTTCTACTGCTACTCCTTAGCTCATTCTTACTGCTGTCTTTCAGCCACACCCCTGATCTTCTGGTAGGAAAGATCTACACCTAGCCTTCTCGGACAAGGGTGAAAAATCTCGGAGGACCCGTGTGCAAGTTGCGAACGTTAAAGACCCTTGGTGGTCTAAAATCGATGAGAGTAGGCTTCGGCCGCCACTCGGGCAAAATTCGAAATTTCCCACCAACTGAAAATATAAATGTTGTGTCGCGTGCAAACCAAACAAAAACAAAACAAAAACAAAACAACAACAAACAAACAAAGAAAAACAAACCCAAGCCAACCTGTGCTGAAAGAAATACAGTATCCCAGTACAAAGATAAGCATACTTCATCCAAAAAAATTCTCCCCACCGGGATTTGAACCCATGCCTTCTGTTTGTGAAGTGGCGAAGCGATTAGTGCGCTCGTCTCCGAAGCCGAAAGTCTGGGTTCGAACCTCGGTTCGGACACGGATTTTTTTTTGCCCCCTCCTGCCCACCCAGCAGTAATGGGTACCTGACTTCGAGTTGGGGAAATAAAGGCGGCGTGGAAAGGAACTGGCCACCCTACCACAATATGTCGAATGCCCAGGAAGTTGTCTCACTAACAAGGCAATCCCCAATGTCTGGATCGGATGCGGGAACAACTTTACTTTTCACTTCTGTTTGGGACGACGGGGCACCTAACAGCTACACCATTGACACCTGTCTATCATACTTAAAAGCAAATTACCACATTCGTTGAATATGTTCACAACAGTAGGGCTGGGCATTGAGTCGCTTCAACAAAATCCGAATAATATGTTAGTGCACCTCTTCGGCAAATAATTATGTTATGTACCGCTTCGACAAACGGGTTAGCATAACTTAATGGGTGCACCCACTTCGGCAAACGGGTCAGGAGAGAGAGATCTTAAGAGTCTGAATTCGGAAAATATTTCTTTGAGAAGTATCCGTTTATCCGGATAGTTTATCCGGAGTTTGCCCCCCCCTCCCCCTCTACACACCAGGTGAACTAACAGCTTCACCTGTCAGTGTCACACTCACGATCGGAAGCCCAGGGGCCCCTTCTTCAGATTTAACTGGCGTTTGGAACGATATTAATTAGACCGTGAAAAGTTATCTAACCCTTTTTGCCTCTAAGCTCAATAAGCTGTAAATTGGCTTGTCGAAATCCGGCGAGATAGGTTTTGTTTGTTGTGATGGAAGCGGGGGTGG